TAAAAACATCACTCCTGCCCTCACTGTTCTATTTATATGTTTCTTTTGGGGTTCCTATGGGATGATTTTCTTTCAGGAATTTTTTTTTTCGGGGAAAAGGTCTCTCTCTCTCCTAAAAAAGAAGTTATATTTCTCGTCACAACAGTACATTATTTTGTTAGGCTCATTATACCGGATATTTGGAGGGTGCATTCTTCTATTTCTATGATTTGAAAACTTAAACTTGCACTGGTTTTTCCATGCAGAGAATTTTCACTGAGTACAAACAGCCGTTTGCACTGACTTATCTCGGGGTGTCTCTAATGGTGGTCTATCTACCTATATCAGCTTTGAAACATTGTATCTGCAGCTTACTGAAACCAAATTTAGTTGATAATTTCTACAACAATGAGAGAGCCATGAGCACTTCAGTTGGGCTTGATATCCCACTTATAATAAACGAAATGCACCACAGTCCAGAAACCGAAGTTACAAGCTGCCCAGTTACTGACAAAGAACTTAGCAATACAGAAGAAGGGCGGCCTCTAATCGCTAAGAGTGAAGAAGATGAGTCTCACTTGCTTGAACAAAGTGATCAGCTTAGTCCCTGGGAAATTGCAAAATGTGGCTTAACTCTTACTCCAATATGGTTTCTTACAGAGGTAACATGAGTCATTTTGGCACACCTGTTATTCATATCACCTTTTTGGACTTCGATTTGCATTTTAAATTGCTTGAGGAATTGCATTAATAGAAATATAAATCTTCATGGATCTTTTGGTTTGTTTTCATATGCATGGATTAGTTGTATGGTCGGGCCAATCTCATCACGGTCCCTTTTAAAAGTGGTAAGTGACTTAGTGAAATCACTTTGATCTGGTGCAGTATCTGTCAAACTCTGCGCTGGCAAATACCAGTGTTGCGAGCACAACTGTCCTAACTTCTACATCGGGGCTCTTTACACTTTTCTTTGGAGCTCTTCTTCGTCAGGATTCCATAAGTATTCCAAAGATAGTTGCTGTCTTTGTCAGCATGGCTGGTGTTGCCATGACCACAGCTGGAAATACTTGGGCACCTGATGAACTGCTGAGCATCTCTGAGTAAGTTTTTAATCGTTGCTTCAGCTAGTAGTAATGAATTTTTATTGTGCTTTCTAATTTCTTTCCGGTCAACATGAATGCCTTAGTTTAGTCCTCCTATCTGCCCCTTCTATGGGTGCACATAGTATCAACTTGTACTGTGTTTCCATCCTGGATTCTAGGTCGCATGAAAAATTGTAGCTTATAGAATAATTGTATTGACATAAGGTTGGCTTTTTTGAGGGGAATTTAGTCACTTCCTTCACACCGGAAGGAGGTGGGGTGGGGTGAATGACATCTTGAAGGTTATGTAAATTTTAGATGGTTTTATTTTTTTATTTATGTATTAGTTATAAATATATTTTACTAATTCTTAGATTTCTGTGTTCCTTACTCGAGGTAATATTTGTTCTTTTTACTCACGTTTCACCAACGTTTTTGAAATTTTATATTGTTCTTGTTGCCAAGGACTAGAAAGCACTCTATAACAGGAGACATTTGTGGTCTTCTCTCAGCAGCATCATATGGATTATTTACAGGTAATACATTCCATTCAGAAATCCAGTGTTACTTAAAAACTTTTACAAATAAATAAGTCATCAACTGATATAACTGATATACAGTTTAATTATTTTTTGAATTTTTGTGTGATTATTAAGTTTCTAGTCTTATTCATGCAGTGTTACTTAAGAAATTTGCTGGATCAGAAGAGGAAGGAGATAAGGTTGACGTGCAGAAGCTCTTTGGATACATTGGTCTCTTTACTCTGCTTGGTCTGTGGTGGCTTGGTGAGTGGAATAATAATTACAGGATCTATTTATTTTCTTCGTCTTCCAACCTTCTGAAGTTAAATTAGACTATGTTAGCATACCATGATGGATTTCAGGCGAAACTTGGTAACTAGATCAATGGTTGCAAAAGATAATGTAAGTTGGACTGTATCTCAGGCCATTGTTTATGATTTTCGCACTAGAATATAATTGGCTTGATTGCTATCATGGTTTCTAGTGTTTTTCAGCACAAGTCTCTTTATAAGAAGGTTGTTAGAATTGAATACGTTATCCTAAGATAGGTACAAGAAAAAAAGAGAAATTAAAACAGAGAAATCATAAGATAGTTGGAAAGAGAAGTGTAAATATATATTGCAGTCTCTTAAGCTCTGTATGCGGTGGAGTTTTCAAATGGAAAGGGCTCATAATGAAAAGATAGTGCATATTCTTGGGTGCCATGTTATTCTGTTTAAGTTGTATCGCTTACAGAAATGCTTTCCCATGCAGTGTGGCCGCTCAATGCCATTGGGATTGAACCTTCTTTTGAGCTTCCACAATCGAAATCTGTTGGGGAAGTTGTGCTGTTAAATGGCTTCATGGGGAGTGTTCTTTCAGATTATTTTTGGTATGTAAAACGGCCTTCACAAACATTGGGGTCATTATGGCACCACAGGGACATGAAAGCATCAAACCATGATTTCTGTTATATTTATTTCTTGCCATCTACCAGTAAAAGGATTCTTTGTATTCTTATAAATGGTGCACAATTGGCTTTTCATAGATAACTTCTAAGAGGTCGGTTCGAGTCTGTTGTGTGGTGGCCAAATGTATTATCAGTACTTTCTGCAATTTTTTTCGTTTTATCTATGAAGCTAAAAGATGCTTGTGCCTAATGTTTTTAACATCGAATCAACTAAAACTTTGACAGGGCACTTTCTGTGGTTTGGACTTCTCCATTAGTTGCAACGTTGGGCATGTCCTTGACAATTCCCCTTGCTATGGTAGCTGACATGGTAATTCACGGCCGCCATTTTTCTGCAGTCTACATCTTTGGTTGCATTCAGGTAGTGTATTCATATTATGCTTCATTCATATTGTGGCACAAGGCTCGAACTTCTGCCGTCAAACTTACCCTTGAGACGTAGCTCCCAACGATATAGTTGGTTTTGCTGCAGTAAAAATTTACACCTAACTACTTTCCATTGGACTCAGGTATTTGCAGGTTTTGTGATGGCAAACCTTTCAGACAAGTTTTCTAGAAAGGAAGAGTTGAAATAGTGATGTATAGAAAGCTCAGAGAAGTTCCTAGTTTGCATGTAGACTGAATATATACATAGCATACGTAAGATATAGGAAACATCAGCTGCCCTTGTATTGTATACAACATACAAAGACTAAACATGGGATTTTTGGTAGATTTTCATATGCTTAAAGTATGATGGTGTGTGTGTCTCTCTCACTCATAATTTTTTTATTTTTTGGTGGATTTTCATATTCTTTTGTCTCTGTTAACCTGGCTGATGAAAGTCACGAAACACTACTTCAATAAGAAGAACTGTAAATTTTGAACGGCGTCCGTCCGGGTGTGATCAACTAAAAGGTGAACAAGGTGAACAAAATGTCAGCTTGGGTCAAGCTAGTTGGCTAGGGCAGTGAGTCTCTGTGCACTTGTGAGTCCCTGTGCACTTGTGAGTCCCTGTGCACTCAAGTTCGAGTTCTGTTTCCCCAGATTAATTGAGGCATTAGTAGGCTGACACAATTAGGGCGGTGGAGTTGGGCTATGGATTTCAGAAGGCATACTTGGGCTTGGCCCGTTTCGATACTAGCGGGTCAGCATTTCCACTAGCCCGAATTGGGATATTGGAATCAAAATCCAAGAACTTAAACAAATTAAATTAAATTAACAGAATGAAATGAGTTTTTTCCCTTTTAATTTTGCCTCGAAATTACAGAGTGACACATGAGTACGACATATGACATCAATTGAAAATTGAACCCAGCAACAACTTTATTTTTAATTGAAAAAGAAAAAAACAAGCTAAAAACCAAGAAGCCGACCCGAGGCATTGTGTTGAGAGAGCGCATATTCGTATCAAATCTCTAGTTTCTGACTGAGTGAAAGTAGAAGAGAAGAGAAGAGAAGAGAAGAAGTAGATGGAGAAAGGAAAGGGAGTGATGGGAGCAGGTCGAAGATGGGCCGTTGACTTGACTGACAACTCAACCTCCCCTTCTTCCCGCGACGTCCCTGATCCTCCTGGCTTCTCTCGCACCTCCCTCGAACAGGTTCTTTGCCCTTTCCTCTCTTTCTTCCTCGTCCAATTGGGATTTGGATTCGTTCTCAATTTATTTGATTGGGGTTTTTATGTTTTTCTCTAGGACGATTCAACTGTGAGTCGCCAGAAGAAGGATGCCGAATCTACTTGGAAAGCGCAGGTTTTTATTCCCCCCCCCAAATTTACATCTATTGAAACATTGAAGTATTTAGGGTTTTTTGCGTTCGTCTTTTAGACCCAGGATTTCGGACATTTGGAGGGGTTAAAAAATTGTACCTTTACATCTGAACTTAGTAATCTGATCACAAATTATGAGAAAGATTTGATGCGGAGCATGGTTTAGATTGAGGATGGATCACCCTTTTAGCTGTTTCTTTACTGAATTTTGTTTACCCTTGTTATACCAGTGATATTCGATAGTTTGAATTTTTGGGATCTCATGGCTTCTTTATGTTTGAGCAGAAAGCTTGGGAAGTTGCGCAGGCCCCATTCAAGAATTTGCTAATGATGGGCTTCATGATGTGGATGGCTGGAAGTACAGTGCATTTGTTTAGCATTGGAATCACATTTTCTGCTCTTTGGCAGCCCATAAGTGCCTTACAGGGTGTAGGAAAGGGTAAGATGCCTACTATACTTTTTCTTCCCATACAACTGTTTGTAATTTTTTTTTTCACCCATCGATCCCTCTCTATGTATATGGGAATGATAAGGATGGAAAAACATTAAGTTTCTTCTCTGCCTAACATGAAATCCTGTATTATACTTGCTTGTCCATATTGCTGTATCATCATGCAAGTGCTTTCAAATAACCACCATTCATGGCCTTTGGGCAGTTAATGTAGTGCTCCATTTACTGGTCTCGCTGACGTGACTATCTACTTCTTATAAATGTTGTTTGGCATGATTGATTGCCGAGATGTTGCATATTGAACTTTTTTTCTTTTTCTTCTTCTTTATTTCCTGTTAACTGTAGTTTTCACAGGACTTTTGACCACCTTCACATATCCATGCAAATTTTATCAAGGACATATTTTATGTGTTTTTCAGTTGATTCATGCGTATACTTTATTTGCTCGGCAGTTTATTTCTTCTCTCTTTTAATGTGATTCTGCAGTTTTTGAGCCCTACAAGGACAGCAAAGTAGATCTTATTGCCCCAAAGTTGCTATTCATTGCCCTTAATTTGGGAGGTTTAGCACTGGGTGTTTGGAAGGTGAATTATATTTGTTCTCCTTTACTTGCTTTAATCCCCTATGGTTTATCTTCTTAGAAATCCTGTTTGTTAAATTTTCATTTTTCTTGGCAGCTTAACACTTTGGGGTTGCTTCCTACACATGCATCTGATTGGGTTTCATCCTTACCCCCTGCTCAGGTAAAATTCTTCCTCCTGAGGTGAAATTCATCTGGCATGCAGGATTTTCTCAATTTATTTTGAAGCATGTCATTTGCTCTAAAAATGTCTGCACCACTGTTTTTACCTAAGCAGTCGCAATCATGGAACCATTCTTGACTTACACTGATTCATCCAACTTGTATAGTGAAGTTGATTTAAAAAACAGTTCCTAGCAAAATAAAGTTTCTTGTAGTGGAGAACTCTCCCTCCCTCTTCACTGTAGGGAGGGAGAATATCATAGGCTGTCCATAATCAGATTAAATTTTAGTCATTAAATGCTTCTAAACAACTTTGTGCTTTTCCAGCACATGATAAATAAAGAACCAGGCAGCTGAGTGAGCTTCTGAGTGAGTTAGTAACATAGCAGCTAGGCGGAGATAGTTAGGGAGGATAGTTCAAGCTAATAATCAAGTGGATGAGGTAGTTGCTGTGTTAGTAAGTTGTAAGTGGCGGGAAGATATTACAAGCTGCATGAGCTGTATAAATAATAACGAAGAATTGTATTGGAAAAGTTTCAATGAATGTTTACAAGGAACTGCAGGCTTCCAGTGGGAAGATTACAATCTCATTGCTACTCTCTACACGCACACTTGTGGCCCATATACACCCATGTACAACCCATATCATATCACACATTACAGTACTCTTCTGACAGTTGAATGCTGACACCTTGGTTGTTTCGAGCTTCTTAATATCTTGGAACTCCCATCTAAAACAGCAAAAAATCTGTAAATTGCACATTTCATGCATGTCATCGTATTATCGTTCTTTTTTCAAAATTTGCAATTTACTGGTACACTCAGCAAGAGGTGAGTTGCCATTTGGCCCTAATGCCATTCTTGGTGGCTTCTCCTAGCTGTTTCGTAGCCTTAAATTAACCTTAGGGCACCCTTAACCATTTTTGTTTGGTCCAAATTTCAGGAGGTTGAGTACTCAGGTGGTGGCATTCCTCTATATTGACATCAATGTTGGGCTAATCTCAAGATAAAAAGATGAATGGCATTTGCAGACGCAGGATGAGATCCTATTGCTGTTTACTGGCAAACGACACATGGCTGGTCTCTATAATGTGATTCTTTCGAGTTCTGAATGATATAACTAAATTTTGTGGCCGTAGACACTGAGCCTGTAGTACTTGTTCTAGTGACTCAATTGATTATCATGAAATCTATATTTTAACACTTTAATTTTGCTAGCAGTTTTGATGGTAATCCAAATTGAATTGTGCTTTGTTAGGTTGGGGCTAAGGTATTGACGAATCAGTTGAGTGGGGAGTTGCGACTCTCCTGAATTGGGATCTTACGGAATCAAGGGTCGATTATTTACTTTATTTATGTCAATGAGTAGGGGAGATTTGACGTCGAAGTTGGGAACTTTTTAACGATGTGAAAATAAGTAACTTAGCTAGTCGCATCGCATCAGTTAACGGTGCCTCGTTAATTTAAACTGTAAACCAGTGCCTCATCCAATGTTTAAATTCAACAAAAATGTTTTGATTTGAATAGCAAAAGTCATTTGAATTTAAATGAACTAGATACTTCCAACTGGGTTTTTGACGCGATAATCACGAGAAAACCCAAAGAATATATTTAAAAAAAGAAATAAAATCAAAACTTTACTTTTTTGGGTAGAAATAAAATTCTCACTTTTAATATCCACCGTTCTTTATATATATAAAAAAAAAAAGCCAAAAATCACTTTTGGTCTTTATAGTTTGGCACTTCAACTACTTTTGACCCTATAGTTTTAATTCCGTCAATTTTGTCATTGTAGTTTCGTATTTGTAGCAATTCAAGGACATGTTAGTATTCTTGTCAAATTCTTTAACGATATAAGGGGCAATTTTGTCAACCCAAAACCCTCGAGAGTAAAAGCTTGTCTGAAATTCTCCCCATTTCATATTATGGCTCGAAATTCAACCACTAATTCCAATTTCTAAAAAACCCTAAACCCAAATGATCAATTTCAAGCCATAATATGAAATTATGGGAGTTTTAGATGAGATTTTATGCTCAAGAATTTTGAATTGACGAAATTATCCATTGCACCGTCAAAGAAATTGACAGGAATACTAACTTGTCCTTGAATTACTACAAAAACGAAACTATATGGTCAAAATTGACAGAATTGAAACTACATGGTCAAAAGTAGTTAAAGTGCCAAATTACAGGACCAAAAGTGACTTTTAATAAATAAAAAATTACTGAAAATAAAGATTTTTAATTATTTTGGTGGTTGAGAAACTTAAAAATCAGGCAATCGAATAATCAAGCATCTTCGTCAATTACTCCGATAGCCACAACCTCTGAAGTCTTTGTCGTCCTCCTTAGCATCTGTGTGAACACAACCATGGAGCTAACAGCACAGCAGCTGATCCAATACAACGGCACCGACCCATCAAAGCCGATATACGTGGCACTGAAAGGTCGCGTCTTTGACGTGACGGACGGCAAGTCGTTTTACGGGCCTGGAGGGCCGTACGCGATGTTCGCGGGCAAGGACGCCAGCAGAGCTCTGGCGAAGATGACCAAGAACGAAGAAGACATCACTGCCTCCCTCGACGGCCTCTCGGAGAAGGAGATCGGCGTCCTCACCGACTGGGAGAAGAAGTTCGAAGCTAAGTACCCAGTTGTTGGCCGTGTTGTTTCTTGAAAGTTCTCTACTTTCAATTAGAATTCTTGAAAAGTCTCAACCTTTTATCGTCTTTATGACTTAAATGTATGCACTTTCAAGCAAAATAAGTGTTTATGGGAATTATTTGCTTCTGGGTATCTGTGACTTTGTATCCTATCCGTGTATCTGATCTTGGATGTTGTGTATGAATAAATGACTCTGGTTGTGTGAATTTGGTTTTGTTGATTTGGCTGAATTTTGAGCTTGTATGGCTGAGAAGTTTGCAAATTTTTGCAGTTTGATCCAGCTGTTCATATGTGCATTGTTGTGTTGTTCACTGAAATCCCTAATTTTGATGTTCCAAGGCACCAGGGTTTTGCCTGTACTGGTACAACAATTGCAACAATTAATGCATGAGACTTATGCTGATTTCGATTTCTCTGCTAGTTTGAGTGCATTAGTTTTGTTCCTAACTCTTCCCAAGTCCGCTGCTGTAATTAAAGTACATCAGAAGACTGATTTAGCTAGCCCATTGATAATGTTGACAATTAGAACCTCCGCATGTTGACAATTACAAGTTTTGGCCCTTGAATTGGTCATATCAGTTCATCCTTGCAGATCCTTTTCTTTTGGTTTCTTTGACTAGAAGCAGTTGTTGTTGGGTTGTTCATAGCCTTGGCACTTGATGAAGGAAAATCTGAATATATGAACTTAAACTAAATGCTTGGTTACTGATTGTCATTACGCTGAATTTCTGTTTCTACAAGATACATAGATTCTGATGGAATCAAAGTGGACTTCTACCAACCCTTTTAGTTGTCTATGTAGATAAATTAACTCTAGATTTGTTGTCTCCCCTAGGCCACGTTTTCAGGACCAAAATCTCACCCACATCCGCCAGCACTTTCTCAAGTCTCTTAGTGTGTATGATCTATGCAGAGTGCTTGGTGCATTGTGCGGTGTACAAAGTGCAAGAAAAGTTTAATGTGTATGTTGACGTATCCTCAACCTCATCCAAAGTGCTAATCTGGATTGTTGTCACTCTACATGATGTGAGGCATGTGCTCAAATGCCCATAGTGCAGTCTCTCTTTCTCTCCTTTCTAACGCACCAAAGGTTGGGGAAAACTCTAGTGTTACAACTTACAGGTACTCTTGTCTCTATCTCTCTCATCACATGAGGATGTCATATGAGGAGAGAGAGAGAGAGAGACGAGGGCCGGGATATGCTAGAGATGGAGACAGGCGTGGTATACACCCGAGATGGGAAGTGTTTGTTGAAAGGTTGATGGTTGATATATGAAAGCATTTTTCTTCAGCTTTGTCTAAAACAATTCATGGCAATCAGTACATTGGCAGGGGCACTAAATGACTGATAATTACCCTTTTTTCTGTAAAGCTCGAAGAGACATTATTTCTGTTCTTTTGTAAAGCTCGATGAGACATCCAGACAGCTTAAAAGTTACTGCTCCCTTCATAAACTCGGCATATTGTGACGGATAATTCATCCGATGTTGATTCAATGACTTGAGACTTCTAACGAAACAGATTGTTTGTTTCTTGTCAAACTTGTAACTACGCATTTTATAAACATTAATTTGAGACCATACCATGCTTCCATTTATTGGACTATACATATGCTTTCATTTATACATGTTATTAAGTTGATGCCGATATCGATGTTATAAGTCTCACTTATTATTGTTATCCTTTTGTTTTTTTATCAAAATCAGAATTAACTTGATGTGTGTGAATTATATTTTATAAAGAAATGTAAAATGTAAAGCATATAAAATATTAAAATAAACAGAGATTAGCCCAAAACCCCTACATGATGGATGGGGCATCATTGTCTCCTAGCTGTTTGACGGACCTGATCACTGTGATGAAAATTTGGACGGTTTAGATTTCCTTCAAAATAGGAAGTGGATAAGTAAAGTGCTTTGCTCCACGTGCTACGAAAACCCTGAATATAATTTCACTACTCTTTTAAAAGTTATTTTTATTTTTATTTTCTTATTTTCCAAAGGAAATACTATACGCTCCATGAGAAGACTCTACGAGTCGGTATAGAAATCATAATTTATGCTCTGAGGGCACCTTCTTCATCCCCCCTTCTTCAAGTCATCCCTAAACAGAGCACAGAAAGCCCTGCCTTTTTTCCTCTGTCTCTCACCATAACCATCCACCGAAACAAATCCAGACCTTTGTTCCCAGTCCATCTCTTTACTGGAATATTGGATCTTGCCTTGTTAATCTTTATTATTTATTATTAATCTAATAATATTGCCATTTTTGTTAATGAAGTTTTTGTTTTTTTGATTTGTAACGAATCAGAGCTTCCTTTCTCAATCCCTATCAAAGATGTCGACTAGAAAACCTTCATACACAAACCCAAAACCCTGCAAGCACCTTTCAGCTTACAAGCTCAAACATGGCTTGAGTGGCTATAAATCACTCCAAAAGTGCCTCAAGACCACCCCAAATGGAAGGACAAGTGTTCAGAATCCTGGCACAGAGGTACCCAGATGCAGTTTCTGTAATGGGTATCAAGGTAGACTCTATATTTGTTTGATTTGCTCTTCAATCTCATGCTCAAGCCACGCCCTTTTGCATACCCAGTCTGAGATTGGCCACTATTTAGCTGTGGACGTTGAAAGGGCTGAGCTTTATTGCTGTGCGTGCTCTGATCAGGTCTATGATCCTGATTTTGATAAGACTGTGATGTCTAAACACATGGTGGACTTGCCGTATAGCACAAATAGTGCAGACAGTATAGGAGAGAGACTGTGTGAAAGGAAGAGGCTGGGTTCAGGTGTAGAATTAGTGGATTTGAAGAAGGCCGAAAAGTCGGCTTGGACGAGAGATCAGAGGGCCAAATCGTGCTACCCATTGGGTTTGAGGGGATTGAATAATTTGGGCAATACTTGTTTCATGAATTCTGTGTTGCAAGCACTACTACATGCACCTCCTTTGAGAAATTACTTCTTGAGTGATCGGCATAACCCCAAAACATGCCGGAAAAGGACTGCGAATCGGCTGTGTTTGCCTTGCGAACTTCATGGTATTTTCTCGGCTGTGTATTTGGGGGATCGGACTCCTTATAGCCCGGCGCAATTTCTTTACAGGTCTGACATTGCTCTGCCAGTGTGCTCTTTGGTTACAGCATATCTTGCCAAGTTAATAATGCTTGGTTTTGTGATTTGATGAATGATTTATATTGTACTTGATACTATGGGGGCCGAAGCCCGAACAAAGAAACAACTACAACAAATGATTGATTTATATTGGATAAACATTTGTTTCAGGATTTTCATTGCCAGTTTTTGTCTCTGCAATTTGTCGGTTTTGAAGTTCCCTGGATAAGTATAGGAAGTGTTATATTGCTCTCTTAGCAAGTGGAGATGAAGTAATAACTTTCTAAGTTGTATACATGCAAATTGCATAATGTGTATGTCTAAGCCGGGCTTCAAGAAAGATACTCAACAGAATTGCATTTTTCTTTGTATACGTTAGTTGGATTCTTCACATTAATCTATTTAGAAGTGACATAGAATTTTTGGAAATGATGGCACCATTTTTCTGATTTTGGATCAAATTCTTATTTGATATGTGATGCTAAATCCCTTGTTAGTTCTTGTGTGCTTGTATTTTCTTAATTGATACATGCAGTAGACTTACTTTTCAACTGATCCACACTATCTTTTACTTGAAGTTGGTGGCAGCATTCAGAAAATCTGGCAAGTTACGAGCAGCAGGATGCTCATGAGTTCTTCATTTCAGTCTTAGATGGGATCCATGAGAAAGAAAGCAAAGCAAGGAACCAAACTAGAGGTAATTATGGGTCGACTGTTGGCATTATGGTCTTGCCTTTTATGTTTTCAAGAGAGGGATTATACTTGGAAGCACATTGACACTGTTTAGAAGGATGTAGAACTATGGAGCCATCTATCACTGTATCTAAAGAAGTTCAAGAATCTCAAAAGGATTGGATGAGTTGTGTACACCTTCATAGGATACTGTAGAAGTAATAGATGCATGTGCAATTGTTGTTTTTACATTGTTTAATAGTTATCTTGTACTTATGAAGTTATCCTCTGTTTCACAGATACCGGAGATTGCCAGTGTATTGCTCATAGGGTATTCTCAGGACTGTTGAGGTCCGATGTCACTTGTATGACTTGTGGATTCACCTCAACAACTTATGACCCTTGTTTGGACATATCACTCAACTTAGACACAAGCCATTGTTCTTGGTCAGATGCATCTAATAAGCCCGTCAAACCAAATGACAACAGCAGTTCATCTACTCTTTTAGGTTGTTTAGACTTGTTTACAAAACCAGAGAAGTTGGGATCAGACCAAAAACTGTACTGTCAGAACTGTGAAGAATTGCGAGACTCATCAAAGCAAATGTCCATCAGAAAGCTCCCGTTGGTGTTGTGTTTGCATATAAAACGATTTGAGCACTCCCTTGTCAGAAAAATGATGAGGAAAATTGACAGCTATTTGCATTTTCCTTTCTCCCTAGACATGACTCCATATCTGTCTTCTTCAATTGTCAGAAACAGATTTGGAAATAGGATCTTTGCTTTTGAGGGGGATGAATCTGATATATCTACAGAATTTGAGATTTTTGCAGTAGTTACTCATTCTGGGACACTAGAATCCGGCCATTATGTGACGTATTTACGCATAAAAAACCAGTGGTACAAATGTGACAATGCTTGGATTAATGAGGTTGACGAGGGAATTGTAAGAGCTTCACAGTGTTATATGATGTTCTATGTGCACAAGATGCTTTACTATAAATCACACGAAGATTTGAGTCGCCTGCCCATTTCCACACGGATAGAGGCATTTCACAGGGTAGCTGGTTGCTGCTAAATGTAATGTTTCAAATGATACTTACAGTTGGCTGAACAAGAATTGGACTTTCGATATACATCAAGGCAGGCTATGAACAGTGAGACCGAGAATGCTTCTGCTGAAGGAGCCGTTTCAAGAATCAGATCCCTTTGGCCTGAGGAAATCACGATTCCATGTTGGACGGACAGGGAAAGGCATCATCAAATTGCAGACTTTTTGAAGATCACGGTTTGAAGCAAGGATACATCCAGCTGTGCTGTTAATGGTTTGTTAATGGGTGTTTGTGAATGGATTTTGAGAGATACTAGGCAACTGGTGGAACTCAACTTCTTCATGTTGAGGTTTTTGTGCTCTTTACAAGATTCGTGCTCTGCATTTTTTTTGACTGCAGGTCAGTCGTGTACAGAGTAGATCTTTGGAACTAATGTTTATTTGGGGGTTCCACTAACTTTTGCTCTTCCACTTTCTAAATGTCAATATGATTTGTTAACTTTACTCTATTCATCCAATGTTGATGATGCATGAATCTTAATTTGGCAAAAAAGAAGTCGGGAAGGTAGTGCCATTCTACTCTGCTATAAGTAGTCTTCATTAACCCACTTCTGCTAAGGTCAATAAAACCGCCACGAATAAAACAGGAAAAAATGGATAAGATTTAAAACAAGGAGGAAGCAGAAGCAAAAAGCAAGACGAAGACAATAAAGTTCAAATCTTTTCATTCCTCATAGGCTCATTGCCCTTTTTGGTCTGTAATGGTTAATCGACATTAAAAATATAACACTTTCATTGTTATTGCCTAATCAAACTCGCATCAAGATTTGTTCTTGGGAGAAACCTCTCTCCAATGGCTCTAACATGTTGACAGGAGGCAAGCTACTTAAACCAACCAAGTTGGATCCATTTTATTCCCTTTTTCTTAAAGCATGTATAATAAAAATCATAATTAAGCTCTTGGGTTTTCTTTGAGGGAAAAAAAACAGTCCATTTCAGGATGCATTAGGTTTTGTGGTTAACCTAGTCCAATGAGTACACTAATTACATACATTAGTTTAATCAAAAGCGCTATCATCTCCCTAAGGTTCATGAATCATATAAACATCCAATTCCTACTCTCCACCATTGAGTTAAGTAATTTTGAGTATGTGGCATCTCGTGATTGGACAATCTTTTGTGTGACTCTCTGTGAGCTTCGATTGGGAAGTATTCAAGCGTGACAGTTATATATGGTCAATGACCACGTGGTGTTACGAATCTACCCATGCTATGATACATATTTGTTTATTAAGACTGTTATAAGTTCAAGAAATATGGAACTTTCTCATTTACCCGCACCATAACAAGTGAACTAATAACACAAATCAAATCAGAACAAGATCGGCCTTTTAACACACGTCTTTCCAGTTCCAGAAAGGCAGAGACTTCACCTTGTCACAAGCGGAAGCTATATATCCTTATGACTCACATGTCCCCACTTCCGTGCTCATGGAGCCAGTGGCATTCAGCCACGTGTCAGAACATCATAACTAGGGAAGTCCCATGTACATGATATTATTCCCTTCAAATACTTATTTTTAAGTAAGTTTCACTAAAACACCCAAAATGGGGGTTGAAATTATAAAAAAACCCAAGCACTATTTAAACATATAAACACACCCAAAACCCATCATTACACACACTCAAAACCCATTTATAAACACACCTAAAAAGTTGACTTTGGGGTTGATTTTGGATATGTTTCTGTGTTTAAATAGTGCTTGGATTTTTTTATAAATACATGTCTAGAATTGGGTTTATTTATAAATTTGTATATTTTTAAATAATAAAAAATTAAAAAATTAAAAAATTAAAGAGGAAAAAGGAAAAGAAAAGAAGGAAAAAAAATCGGAATTTTTGACCATCTTGGCGGGTTGGTGACTTTTGAGAAAGCAATTACCTTTCTCTTGTTTGTTTTCTGCTGAGTCGAATGTTTGCGGCCGAAACTTTCAGATTCTTACATGAGAGCGAGGCACTACCCAACGGTTAAACTGTAAAAACTAAAAACTAAAAACTAAAATCAGATATTGATAAACCGGTTGGTTGGTCAAAGTCAACCTCGCGGCAAGGAGGCCTTCTGCTACCTTGGAGCTATCTACCAGGCATTGGATCCATCTGAACTTGAAGTCCTCGGCTTTCATTACCAGATATCTATCGTTTTGCGGAGAGAATAAATTCCACATTCATTGCTGAATTAATTAGAGAAAGCTACTGCCGTCTTTGTGTTTGTTTTTTTACCTTCTTAGTGTTGTCTGTGTTCGAGGTTATCAAGCAGCAACCAAAACCAAGATCAGAAATTCTAAGCTTCCATCAGGAGAATCAATCACCGTGAAGAACCCAATCAGATAAAAACTGAATCTTTAACTGGGTTTTTCATTCGAAGCAGGAAACAGATTTCCACTGTTCAGGAAACACTGATCTGTTTACTGGGTTGTTGTTTTTGGTAAATCTGTATTGGGAAGAGAGTGATGGTGGAGGAGGAGGAGGATCTTAAATCCTCTGGTGACATGGTGGAAGAAAATGAGCCCAAAAAAGGGTGTTCTGGTGCTCTCTGCACACCAATCAATTGGTTCAAAATGCTGTGTGCGGAAATGCATTGGAGTTTTGTAATGGGGGTGGTGGTTGTTTATGGAATAAATCAAGGACTGGGTGGAGCTCTTTATCGTGTGGGCACAGAATATTACATGAAGGATGTTCAAAAAGTGCAGCCTTCTGAAGCACAATTTTATCAAGGAATTACTTCTATTCCTTGGCTTGTCAAGCCTCTCTGGGGTCTCCTCACCGATGTTCTCCCAATTTTCGGGTATCGAAGACGGCCTTATTTCATCGTAGCAGGTAAACTCAAAAAGTTAAAACTCTTTCTAGTTTTGATGTTCAATGTCATATATTCAATTAAGGATAACATTCTAAGTGTTAAATTTGAAATTGTAAATGCCTCAAACTTTAGTTTTAAATGTCTATATTCTAATAGATGTGAATATCAGTTTAACTTTTGTGTTCTTTTGGGAAAACAAAATCAGAACTTGCCACATGGATTGATTGTTTCATGAGATGACACGTTTAGCCATTTCTAGCTTATATGGTTTCCTGATAAGCTAGTCAATGTCTTGTTTGTATTAGGTTCTATTGGTGTGATCTCCATGCTCGTGCTATCATTCCATGAAAAGCTGCACATTGCACTTGCCCTTTTGTCATTAATAGCTGGAAGTGCTGGAGTGGCTGTAGCAGATGTCACCATAGATGCCTGTGTTGCACAGAACAGTATTAATCATCCGTCACTTGCAGCCGATATGCAAAGCCTGTGTGCCCTGAGTTCCTCCATTGGGGCACTACTGGGATTCTCTGTTAGTGGTATCTTTGTTCATCTTATAGGCCCTAAGGTCAGCTTCTTTCACCTGTAGCTGTTCAAAGCTTAAAATTTCTCTTTGCTTTTCATGTTTCTGTTTGAAACAAAAATATTTTGTTTATTAGATGAGTTTTTTTGTTCCTCTTCCTTGGTAGGGGGTATACGGGTTGTTGGCAATCCCATTTGGACTTGTGTTCTTAATTGGAACTCTGCTTAAGGAACCTCATTCTCCCAATTTGGCTTACACACAGGTAGTCCTTTACTCCTCTTGATTCTTGTCCTTTTCTTTTCACTTTTCATGCTCATGGTCTAATATTGCATGCTGGGCACAGGTCAATCAGAAGTTTATTGATGCTGGCAAGGCTATGTGGACAACGTTGAAATGTCCTGATGTATGGAGGCCATGCTTATACATGTACTTTTCCCTTGCATTA